ATTTAGCCAATTAATAAAATCTATCAAATACATTATTTCTGACAATTTATATTATTCCACAAACTACTAAACAAGCTTTATTACAGCTCTATCTTTTGGCGTATAAAAAGCATCATCTCCTGTAATATAGTTTACGCAATATAATAAAATCCATGCAGTCATAAATGTAAACAAATATAGCAGAAAAAGAAGGAAAAGAATACAACATAACATCCCAATTTCGCAGCTTTTGTCAGCTCGGGGATAAGAATTACGGAGGTAGAAAGAGCATAAGGCTCTCAAGTTGGAGAGCAACCTTAGATGTCTTTGAATGCAGCAAACACATCACCATGGATGAAATCATTGTCAACAAGGCTGACTAAGTAGTAACTTCTTTGAACCTGCACAAAACATGAGAGAGTTATGATTTTCTTTGAGATTAAAAGGCAAATTACCCACCGTTGTTTAGCTTGGTTGGTGGGTGAGTACGGTTGCGAACCCCCAACCCGTGTTTGATTCCCCTCGAGCGGCAGCGCTTCTTAAGTGGGGCTCAATCAAGTGCAGGCCAGGAGGTTTCTGGGGTTAGTGCCTCTTTTAGGTCAGCCGAGGATTAGTCACGCCGCCAAGCGCCCTTTTGGGGGTGGCAGCGGGTGGTAGGGGTGTCAGTTTCATGTCAAGGGTCCGAACCCGAAACTGATCCGACACTATTCATGTAAAACCGAACATGACATGTTTTTGCAAATGTGTTGATTTTCCGGACTCGACCCGCTTCAGGTTCGATCAACCTAACCCGACCCGAATGATCCGGTGCCAACAAAAAGCAGCTAGTTTTTGGTTCAAAAACGGGTCAATATTAGATTGTCGGGTCAAAAAGGGTCAATGCCGGGTCAAAGGGCCAACTCGAACCCGACCCAATTTTTAAAACGGGTTGAATTGTTGAACCCAACCCGTTCAGTCGGGTTGGGTTTGGGTCAACCCAAACCTGAAATTTTCGGATCAAGTTTTCAGGTTGGGTCCAATATTGACACCCCTAGAGGGTGGATACCCCATTCCCAAAAAAAAAAGCAAGTTGAATTCGATTAAAAAAACAATTTCTTGTTTACTCATATACTCTTACCTCCTCCAATAGTGCCCTTGATGGATCAGCCTCAGGGAACAAACAAGCCCATCCTCTGGTCCAGATTTCAAATGCCTCATCCTTCCACACCATAA